TGAGAACCCTGAGCTTGTTTCTTTGCAATGAGACGGTTCCATCTGGGGGTAATCGGAGACAATGATACATTACAAACATTAAAAAATTTATGTCACTACCTTCGGGGGCTCTTTTTTTAAATAAATAAAATTTTAATGGAACACAGATATTTTTAAATTGGGGTATAAACCTAGGAATTTAAATTCAGTTTCAATGAAATGGGCGGCTCTAAGAAGCAATTTCTCTAAAGTAAATAAATAAATAAAAACAAATGGAAAAAAAAACATTCCTGAAAACAAACAAGAAATAAAAAAAAAAATTAAAACTTCTTTATCTCTCTTTTCTACATCCCAAATTTTCCAAACCCTAAATAAAAACTTCCTTTTTTCAAAGTAATTGTCATCAAAATACGGATTTTATCTTTATGATAATTTTAAAGTAATTTTTAAGCGGAATTATTTTCAGAGCTATTTCAGAAATTACTGCTAAAAGGTATATAAAGTCATTAATTTATTGATGAAAAATTTTTTTGTTGTAGTGAATAAAATTGTTTCTCTTCCCGATTAAAAAAAATCAAAAACATTTGCTTTGATACACACATGATCAAAAATTGTCAATTAGTTTGTTTAATAAGGAAGAAATACCTGTAAAATGCTTTGATTCTATTTTGATGTATTTTTCAACGTACAATCAGCTGATTTTTATATGGATTGTAAATAGATGCTAATAGTGAGGAAAATAAATTTTACTGGTTATCGTTAAGCCATACTTCGTGATACCGTTTTTATCTAGTTTGAACTGTTTTATGAGCAAAATACAAATATAAGCGTTGAGCGTAAATTTTTGTTGTTGATCATTTTCTTTAAAAAAATTGCAAACAAAATAGGATGTAATAAAATTGCAATATTTAGCAACAGAATAATGAAATGTAAAATGGAATTAAGTCATTTTCCGTCTTCCGCAAGCACAAAGTGAAAAAAAAAACTCTTGTATCATGTTGAAGAATCGCTTTCTCTTATTTTGGTTTTGTTGGAAGTTTATTTTGGCAAGTTTGCAGGTCTCTCACTTTAATTTGTAACCGGTATCTGAGCACATACCCTTTTACCCCTAATTGCAGCATAGGGCTTCTACTATCCATCTCATTCTATTTGTGGGTAGATATTTTGCCTCTCTCCATGTCTTTCCTATTGTTTTCAATTCCTTTACATTCGTCCTGCGCCAAATAATTTTAGGTCTTCCCATTTCTCTATTGCCCTGAAGGTTCCAATCAAAAGCTTGTTTTACTTTAAATTTTTTAGGTTTACGTAGAAAATGTAGTGTTTGAACAGCTGACCAGTTTAAGGTTTACGACTATCAATGCTCATCTCCGTTGCCTCATAGTTTTGAAACCAATCCAGAAGACTAGAAATCTCTTAGATCAAGCATTTAGACAAACTATCCTTCCAAACTCCTATCCTTTACATGGGGAGGAAAATCACGAAAACATTCCCTGTTTAACTCTAACGCAAGTGTATTCTAACCTCCAACCCATGATCTTTCTACCACTGAGCATATTTTTAGATCAGCACTGTGGGCGGTGCCATCACTGGTATTCGAACATGGGTCATCTTATCAGGGGGCAAGTGATCATATCTGAGCCACTGCAGCTCCCAATGCATCTTATTGACTTTATGAATAAATAAAAGTTGTAATACTTTATTTACGTAGCCCTAGAGCTGCACAATGGGCTATTGGCAATTGTATCGGAACCATCCCTGAGGATGATTCGAATATATGCCATCACAATTTTGATCGTCTGCTTGAGGGGTCCCCGCTTTGACAGCCTGACGACCTGCGCCCAAAATCGAGCACTTCATGATGAAACAGTTACACGAGGACAAATACTACTTACCCACAGCTCACTGGCTGCTGGTGACGTTTGATTTTGGTGTTCTACTGGGAATCGTGTCTTTACGATCAGCCCACTGCAAGATCTTTGATGAATAAGCATTAATTTGCAGGTTAAAATTGTCCCGCAGTGGACTGATCGTTAAGACACGGTTCCCAGCAGATCACCGAAGTCACGCATCACTGGCTGCGGTCAGTGTGCGGGTGGGTGACCACTTGGATTAGTTTGCGTAGGGACCGAGGTTGGGCGGTATGGGTCCTCGTTAAACTGTTCTACCGTTAAGTGTTCGACTTCGCGTGCAGGTCATCGGGCTACGGAGGCAGGGGTGCCATCCCCTCTACAGAGAATCAAAATTGTGATAGCACGTCTTTGGATCATCCTCAGGGATGTTTCCCAGACCGTCGGCAATAGTCCATTGAGCAGATCTAGTGTGACGTAAATGAACAACAGCAGGTTAAAATTAGAAAAAATGTAGCAAAATTTTCTGGAACATTTATAGATGACAAGTGAAAAAAAAATTGAAAAAGTAAAAGTAAACTACTTATGTATCTTACTAATGAACAGTATTGTATACACTAGATATTGTTAGTAAAGTTCTTTATGCATTTTTCTTTAGAGAAGAACGAAGCTTTGTCTTCCTGATTTTTTTACTCCATATATTTCGAAGCTTTGGGGTTAAAAGGTCTAGGAGTAATGTTCTCTTTTCTTAACTTAGCACTCCCATCACATCATTCGTTTCGAATCTTGTACTTGAGAAATGACTTCCAATGATTTTATGGACAACTCCAGCATGTTATGTTTTAGGATAAATTAGTATCAAGTTTTTTCTCTAATCTGTAACATGCTGTTAGTTTATAGTTATTAGTATTCCAAATGTTTCAGAAGGGTCAATTGAAAACAAGCACTTGGTTCACTATTTGTGCTATCTATTTGTTTTAAATACATCTTGTGTTTCATTTGTAGCTGTCTCATCAGAGAGGGGGGTAATCGATTTTGTTACGTGAAATAATAATTTATTTTCTTCAGACTTCTTTGAAAGATTAATAGTTTCATGTTTCAGTGATATGCTTCCGGCTGTTTATTTTTGTCTACTTAGATCACAGATACTTTCTCCATTTATTAATGGCCAATACAATAGAAAAAAGTAACTTGGCATTGATCAATTTTACGAAATCATGCACTAGAGAGTAAGACTTACACAGAACACCACTTATTAAGCTAAAAATGTCCAAATTATTGTTATTCGTTTGCCCGTCCATGGAAATTTACATTATTAGATTAGAAAACATCAAAATTAAGATTAACTATATTCAGTATTATTTAGCATAATGTTATTATTCGAGGTCAACCCTATTCGATAGTTGAAAATCGCCATAATTAACGATTTCTGCTTCTATTAATTCTTTTCATTGGGCTGCAAGAAACCTATTTTCCTATAAGTACCTACAGTCGGTATCTTGATAGTAATATTAGTATACTTAATACATATTGAAAAACACCAATTGATGTAACAAAAGTAGTATCTATTACGTAAATTAATTCAGTATCTCTGGCGTCTATAACAGTATGGTAATTTTCTACGGTTTCCATGTTCTATTAAGTACCTTTTCTCCCTTAATAAAGCTTTTTAACACAAAACTTGTTTTTTATTTAAATTTTTATCTATTACCGAAATTAATTCGTTGTTGTTTTCGAAAATAATATTCGATATGTATCTTGATTAATATTCATCGCAATATAATTAACACGTTCGATAAGTATAGTTATCCATAATATGCACGAAATTATCATCTGAGGTATTCATCCTTGTCAATTTTTATCGTATATTCAATATTTATTGTATGTAAATAATATCTGTTAAATATTGAAATATAGATATATAAGAAAACATCGATCTTGTACAATATGGCATTCAAGTCTTATTGAAGTTAATCATGAAGTTAATCATTATAATTATACAAATTTTAGTGCATGTATAAAGGTTATCTAAATGATTCAAATTTTAAAATTGGCTTAAATATTAATTAAATAGCGATCTGAAAAAAAAATAATGATAAGGACTACCAGAATATGGTAAAGTTTACCGAGTTTCTGGCTCAATGAGAATGTCAAAAAGTCAGTCATTTTCGCCGAAGAGCTTTGGTAATGGTTTTAGTAAAATTAACAATAAAATATTGTTTCAATATATGTGATAAATGAGGTAAAATTTGATAATTACATCATCATACCATAGAGCATAGTAAAAAAACTATTTATTCGGTTAAATTTACTTTTTGGTATTGTATTTTCTACTGAATGTGGGGCATGATTTTGAAAATTAGAAATTTCGCTAAACCATTACTATAAAGACGGAAAAATTACGAAATGAATGGTTTAAATACCGGATATTTTGGCTTTATTAACCAGAACTATGTTTTCTTTTTCTTCTTTTAACTAGAATGTGAACGTGCGAGTGACGTTGCGTGGGTATCACGATCCTGACTGATTGTTGAAACATGGCATTTGCTTACGTTAGCAACTGTTTTTTTCCATTCTATTTCAAGTAAGCCAAGCCCGCCAAGTATCCATTCTCTTAAGGGACACGTTCTATATTCTTTTACAAAGATTTAAATTATTTTAGTATATTTTTCTAACTTAACACAAAGATAGGCACGGATCCAGGTAGAACATAAAGTAACTACGCACCAAAGTTGCTAGGTACATAAAACAAAAATGTATCATGGTTGCAATAAAATACAAAAGTAATAAACCTAAGTTAAGAAAAAGACGTAGACGAGAAACAATTATATTTCATCAAATTCGATGTGTGATATGGCGCAGTATTTAATTAACTTCACTTTAAATAATTTTCTTACGCATATGGAGAAACTTAGTTCAATTTTAACACGTCATTTTGCTTATAAGCGATCAGTTCGCGCTGCCGTGGATATCCGCTGATGTGGGTATCCGTGATCTTCTTCTCCTAGGAGTGCAAGTACCCAATCGTCATTACTATTCAGTAAGATGATTTTACCAGAAATTTTATCTTTCTGCAATTTTTAATGTTTTTTAATGTAAGAAATTGTTATGTGGATCGTAGTTGGATTATTCATAATTAAAATAAGCTTGAAATTAAGATTTTTTACATGCATATGCATTTGGTCTATTTTATTATTTATTCACAGAACATCTATTTACACACCCTTGAAAAAGAAAACATATATACATATTTATATATTGTACTAAAATGCATCATTTTACTTGTTTTCATTTACATGTAAAACGGAAAAAATTTGAATCAAAATGGCTTTTCTCAAGAAATGATGTGGTATAACAAAAACTATTGCACGTTTAACACTTTTTAGAAATAAAGACTTTTATTTTACCACTCTTTGATGAGGTGAGAAAATCAATTCGCAAAATCTTTCCAAATAAAAAATATTAGCACTCATTGTATTAATGCATCGGCTGCATTTGAAGTAACTCGCAACTGCATAGGGCAGCGGTTCTCAAAAAGTGTTCCGCTGAAACTTAGGGTTCCGTGTAAGGGTTACAGGGGTTTCGAGAGCTAGGACATTTTTTAAATACGATTTTTGATTTATATCGACTTTTATTAATACGAATTTTAAATTGTGTTGGTTTTTGACCTATATTCAATCACTATTTATTTAATATTTTGGTTAGTTTTACGAAATTGTACTAACAAAATGTTAGTGAAAAATATAGTAATATTAAAAAAAAAAAATCACTAATTTTACCAATATTTTTCATATAATTTTTTCATTCAAAATGAAGTTACCTAATTTATCAACAAATAAATTTGTGTCTCTAATAACCCTTCTCAATGTTTATAACAGTTCTTTTTCATTTTCATTTAAACGAAAACAATAACTTTGTTTGTGTCCTTTATTTTCAGGTCACTTAGGCCATCACACGTATGGAAAAATAAAAGTCTTTCTTTCTTCGGAAAAAAAAAACATTATACAAGGTGTTCTGCAATCACCACTCTTGGTAACTTGGTTTTGATATTTCCAGTCTTTTCTTTGTTCAGTCGTTCTTAATTCCTCGTTTAAATTTTGATTTGCACCAACTAATGTGCGCAATTCCTTGCATTCTTTTTTGGCAACGAGTCTAAAAATATATATCAAGGGCGGTTACGACAGAACACCCTCAATTTAATGCAATTTATGCTATCATGGAGATGGTGGAATTTCAAGGGCAACTTCATCTGAGGATATATCTTCATCCAAAATTCCAGTAGTGTCCCATACCCTCAGAGTTCCATCCACTGACACTGTATAAAGTTTATCGTATACAACCTGGAAAAAATAAAATCAGAAAATAGAAGTTGTTTGGACGCATGCAAATAACTTTATTGTTACATAAAAATCAATCGAAACATGGAATTCGGCATCTGCAATATATCTTGTGTCCTTAAATAGACCGATGATTTGAAAAATGAGTTAAAGAAAAAAAAAGGGAAGGAAATTTAAATGCAACGGCTTGTTGAGTTCTGCTTAAGAAACTGTAAAATCTTTTCTTAGAAACTTTTAAAACTATTTTTAATGTTCGTTCATGGTCAGTGCTGCCTGATTGAGAAATATAATTTAATATTCAGATCATTCTGAATGAAATATTTGTATTGGTGTCCATAAATTTTGTCCACAGAATGCAATTGTTTTTGCAAGTCATTTTGAAAACATTGCTTCGTAGTTTTTTCTCAGTCAGCAGCGGCATTTGTTGACGAGTTTCATAACAGTTTTAAAATTTCGATGGAAAATAATCTAGTTTCCTAAACAGAATGTAATAAACAGTACAGTTCTATCTTCTTTTGATTTTCTTTAAACGATTTTTTAAACCATTGGTCAGTTTTGGGACTCACTGTAATTTGAAAATTACCAAATTCAGTATTTCATTTTTTTTTATATAAGTAATAATTTACCATTTTAGCAACTAGTATAAATTATGTATAAATTATGTGGTTGTCCCTACATTGATTTTGCCACTGAAGTGATTAAAATGTTTTAAAACGATGACTGGTTTGATAATTTTAAATTATTTTTAAAATAGTTACGACGAGTTAATAATGCGGAATAATTTATTTAAAATTATTTTTTAATAAAGAGTTTAAAAGCAATTCCATATTATTTTCTCAAAGAAATTTTGATCGTTCTTTTTAAATTTTAAATACTTTTAAAATGGAAATTGATGAAATAATGATCAAAGAGGCAATAATACTTCATGAAATGCTTTACCAAAGAAAATGAAATTAATGGACATTTGAGAAGAATATTGACATTTTCATCCTTATATTGCGACCGAATATTTCTTTGATGAATAGCTAAGAAACATCGAGAGAGCAATTGTGTGGAGGTGTCTTACAATAATAAGTTTAATGAAAACAAATCTAAATGCAAAGAGGAAGGAAGGAAACAAGTGATGATAAAGAGGTGAAGTAAGAGTGTAAAAGGAGACTATGACCGGAGGGAACCACGATTATATAAAAGGTTACTCCGTTTCATACACGTGTAACCCACAGTAGATTTAAAAACATCAGGAGAACAACAAATGAAAAGATGCTTTCAGTTTGGAAAGGACATTATATAATTCTCATCACTTGCTTTATAATTTCAGACAAAATGCTTTTTAAATGAGACTTAAAAAATAGTGTGGATGTCGATTATCTGACTAAGTTTTTTTCTTCTTTTAAAGGCAAACACTGAACGTTCTTGCCTCGGAAAACGTTAGACCTCGGAAAACGTCTTGAAACGCCTCTGAAGATGACGGAATTATTGCTCAATTAATGTTACACAGCGGGTAACGTCATGAAGACGATAAACATTATACACTGCCACAGATTCCCGTTAATAGAGTGGGCCACATTCACTCAAAAGAGAGAAAATCCACGCCCTGAGCGGGATTCGAACCCGCTTCGTAGTCATTCACGATGACCGCTCGGCCACGGCCACGGGGCGGCATCTGTCCTAACATACAACACCGACATACAATAAGGCGGTAATGATGCTTACATATGTTGCTCATATGTCACTTACATGTGTCAAACCACGTAAAATTTTATTTTCGTGTACGCAGCACAGTTATATGAACGCGTTGTTTTTGAGGCTAAATTTATTTTCACTTTTTAATGCACTGATATTTAGCTTCCTATTTCATTTTTAGTCAAAAAAAAGTGGCGATCGAGAATAAGCTGACCAAACGTGCCATGCAATATCGCCTAAAATAAACAAGGTAGTTTACTGATGTCGCCTTGTGTATGCAACACGCAAAGTTTTCTTGTACCTAATTCATTTTATATTTTCCAATGTGTAAATTTTAAGCGACAGTGTGGAGGAGAATTATATGATTAAGAAGACGCTCTATACCACGGGAGAAACTCTGTTTCACCTCCATAGCTAATTTAAAACGTAAAGAGTGGAAAAAAGTGAGTTTAGAAAAACCTAGAATAGGCCATGACGTTTCAATTGCTGAAAAAGAAATCATCAAAATATCAAAATGCAAACAATCTGGTGGAGGAGACCTTCCCCGTTGCGTAATCCCGTCTCATTTGTGTTCATTTGGATATTTTGAAAATTTCTTTGCAATGTTTGAAACTTCATCGCTTACTCTAGGTTTGCCAGAGCTCATTTTTCCAATACTTTAAATTTAAAATTCCCAGAATCGCTTGGAACTTTATACGAGGGCACAGATTTATGAATATATTATTTAATTTATTTTTAAATTTAAATTTAAAAAAAATAGGATGGATGAGAAATAGCTTGTCACGCAGTAACGTCTAAAATAAATGAGCTAACTAAATAACGCTTCGTGTATTTGTAACAACATTATGGGAAATTTCATGTGCCTACAATTCCACGAAAATGTTATGCTTCATTTATTTTCCATTATTCATGCGACTCCGCATGATATTTTTATTTATTGCTTAATAATTATCTAGCGTTGCTTCACGGTTTTCAAACAAATGTACATATATGTTATTTATGGTTTTCCTGTTGTTGTACACATATTATTTAACATTTCAAATGTAAAAATAATACTTTTTGTTTTGTTGTAAGACTCAAGAGACAACTTAATTTTATGTTTTGTAAGAGTTTTTTCGTGTTTCAGTTGATCAGATAATGCTTAATTATCATTTAGATTATCATGACGATATCATGAGTCTCTTAAGTTCTATATAACTTGATTAAGTGAGTTTTCAACATCATAAAATGCAGTAGTTTTTTTTTTAACTGCAGAGATTGTTCGATTTACAAAAGTCTTACTCACTGCTGTCAATTTTAAAATAAAAACACAAATGACGGATAATGCTTTGTATTAATAATGCATAAGAAAACATGCAAAGGAATACTTTGCAGTTCTACATTGGGATGCAATCAGTTATAGCTTCATAGATGCTTCCTCACACACACTCATATGTTGTTCGTTATAAATAATGTTTTCATTTGTATATCGTAAATTTTCAGAAGTGATTAAAGTAATTTATATCAAGTTACTGAATCATTTACAAAAAATGTAAAAATAATTAAACAAAAATTTAAGTTTCTATCTTTTTCAAAAATGTAGAACACAATTATTAGTCTCAAACTAAAACTTCAGTAAATAAAGAACAAAAACAATATCGAAACCTGACACATCACTTCTAAAGAAGACGGCACTGAAAGCATCAAAATCTATTTGACTACCAAAGGAAACAAAGTCGAGTTGAAAGATGATTGTTACAGTTTGTCTCTTGAAAGGACTCCCCTAGACACAGACTCTAAATCCGTGTGTTGCTATGGAAATACGCAATACTGCATTTCAAAGAGGATGGATTCTCTCTCCGCTGATTCCTTTTCGCTCGCGAATCCGAGTTATAACGCGACTTAAATATTGACCTGACATCCCTAGATGAAATAGTTAACCCTCGATACCAAACTCAGCGCCACTGCTCCATTCGAATGGCGAGAGAGGTTCTTTCTATAGACAGATTATAGAAACACCGTTAAGTTGTATAGGGAAACCAAACTGGCTTTAATGTTTTCCTACCGCTTAGCGATTTAAGAGATTTTAATAGCGTTGGTCTTTTTTGCCGCTTAAATATTAATTTAAGATCCCTAATGTGCATATTTTTACAGCGTCATTATTGGGAAAGAATCTAAAAAGATATACAAAGGGCGGTGATTGTGGAGCACCTTATATATAGTAGCATAACGTGTAATTCGAACTTGAATTTTTAATTTGGGTTTCCATCTGGCTATTTAAAACAAATGATATGACTAGACAGTTATGTCAGTGCAACTGAAGTACTAATTGGATTTTACAAAACTGAATAAAAAGGGATAAAAATGTATTCTAATGGATAAAAAGTAAAATGTTTACCTCAACTTGAACGACTGCTTTTGTGTGTCCTTTAAATACCCGTTTACATTCTCCAGTTTTTGCTTTGAACATCCTGCTATAAGTGTCCGCACACCCAGTGTATACTGAAAATTATAAGAACAAACTACAACGATCTTATATCTATAAAATTAATTAAATAAAAATTAATAAAAATTGAAATTTATTACTGTAATTTTATATTGTTACACTACTGGATGAGCTTTGTATAATTAGGTCTGTTTGAAACGTGGTGGCTCAGGGGATAGATCTTTTGCCTCCGATTGAGGTGACCCAGGTTCGAATCCCAGTAATAGCCAGTCGATACGATTTCTGCACCCTGCTCGCACCGATCACAGTGCTGACGTAAAATGTATTCAGTGGTTGACGAATCATGGGTTGGAGTTCCTTTGTTTTCAGGCTAACTGTAGGAGGTTTCCGGGGTTTTTCTCTCCATGTAACGCAAATGCTGGTTAGTTCCATCAAAAAGTCCTCCACGAAGGCAAATTTCTTCCAATACTGGATCCCGGAGTTCCATTGTCTTCTGGATTGGGCTCAAAATTACAGGGTTGCGGAATTGAATATTGGTAGTCGTAAACTCAAAATTGGGTCCGCGACGTTTATAAAATTACAAAATTAAGTCTGTTTTTCAACAATTTATTTGTTTATAATTTTTAGTAAGCTAACATAATTACCGCGAATTTATTAAGTGAAAGTACGCTTACATCCAAGATAACTAAATTTAAAACAGTCTTACTAAGCAGCTAAATGAAGAAGAAAATATAGAAGACGCTTCAATGCACAAGGCAATTGATAGTTCTTATGATAAAAAGGATTCTTTAAAAANTTCAGTTATACGCGTAACTCAACTTAAAGTAACATCAGTGTGACTTCTGTTGTTGCAGATTAGATGACAAATAACTTATATTAGGGTTATAAGATGTTAGTTAATTTTTTTTTGCTAGTTATTTATTGTTCGCTTGTTTTTTCGTGGTTATTAATTGCTTTCTTGGCATTAATTGTTCTTTTTTTGTGAATTTTAATTGAATTGTTAATATGCTTCATAGTAAACTTTGTGATCAGTGGCGTGCCCAAAATATTGTATCGCGTGCCGTAAGTGGCACGCGTGCCACTGGTTCGCCATCCCTGCACTAGGGTAATAGAATTTATCAAACTCGTGGCTATACTACGCCCTTTTTAACCTTATACTATTAATATTTGTGGAAGCAAGAAACCTTCAAATACGGCTGTGAACGTTGCAGATTATTACAGCATATGCAGATTGTTTTTCATCTGTTTTCTTTTCATTTTAAAAATGCGAGTAAACAAATGGAGGAGATCAAACTATTTTTAAAAAAACTTTTTAATAAATTATAATTGAAAAATTTTGCTGCAAGTAAATTTTTACGTTACTACGCACTATTTACACAATAGCTATACTAAAATTTATGTTAGTAAAACTATGCGTTAGAAAATGTTACAAGACTGAAAATTTTTCTTTTCTTTATCTTTTTTTTTTAAAAAAAAAGACATTTTCAAAAAGGGTCCAAGTCTCTCTCCAATCATTTGATTCAGAAATTAAAGAATTATAAAATTATTCAGTAAATTATTTTTTATTTTATTAAAGTTGGATATAATTAGGGTTCTCTAATTCAGATAACAATTGCGTAAATTTAAAAAAATAATTAAATTATTTCTTATAGAAAATTTAATTATGGAACTCAGAACTTTCATATTTTTTAACATTGTGGGAAAATGATCTAAAATAAATAAATTTAAAAAATTCTACTCACTGTAACCGTCTAAATATTTTATGCAGGTTACGCTATGAGTGTGATCCCTGTATATCTTGATGCACTCCCCAAATTCCATAATCCAAGCACGAGCTGTTTTATCTGTGCTACAAGAATATAGCATTTTGTTATGACCCTGCAAAATATTGAAGTAAAAAATGATTATTCTTGGAATGAAGAAAATCACTCTTGAACCTTTTAGTTTCACTTATGGATTTGGCAAAAAAGAGAAAAACAAACATTAAATAACAAACTACTGAAAATAATTATTGGCATATATTAAGATAAACGACTTCTCAGTAGTTATTGAGATATTTTTTTCTTTTATTTTTATTTTTTAATGGCGGGCTCTTGGGCATTGTCCCATTGGCCACAGAAATGCCAGAACTGCTACTCTCTTCTCGTTACCCAGTGGGCACCTGTGGCAAAGCCACGGCGGTGGAGCAGCGTCGCCCACGTCACACAACCACAAACCCGTTTATAGGGCGGGTCACATTCACACAAAGGAGAAAGGACATAGAATAAAAAGAGGGAGAAATAAACATCCATGCCCTGAGCAGGATTCGAACCCGCGACCATCGGCTCCGCAGTCAGGCACGCTAACCACTCGGCCACCAGATCGGCATTTACCACCTGGCCGAGTGGGTAGCGTGTCTGACTGCGGCTTATTGAGATATAATAACCATTAACTTTATTTTCTTTTAATATTTCAAATCTCTATTTCTAATTTCTTTTAACTTTCGCACTTTTTTGAGGAAATGTTATGCTTTAAATTGCAAATTTTTCACTTATAATACTGCTTTAAAAGTAATTTATTTTTCATTACATTTGCAGATAACAATCTGATTTATATTTTATAATTTCTCTGTGACAAACTTATCAACTCAGTACACATTGAACATCAATATGAATAACTTTAAATAAAGTTTTACTCAAAAAATTAAATTTCATTTAACAATATTAGTTAAAATTGAAAATTTTACCAAACGATTTTGAAAATTTTTCAATAATATTAAAAAGGTGAAGCCAAACGATTTTTAAAAAAATAACATATTTCAACTTTAACTCATAGCTTTTCTACTTATATTACGAACTTGTTGACAAAAATTAAACGCATTTAAATTTACTGTGATTTTAATAATGAAATGCATCTAAAATACGGATCAGATGCATGCAAACAAACTTTATAAGCTCTAAACCACCGTAAGTACTAGACAATAAGGTTTTCCTTTATTTTATTTAAAAAAGGAATTTATTCACAGAATTGTATTTTATATTATTTTGTTTAAAAGTCGCAAGATCGACGATATTTCGATTTTTTGCTTTAAAATAATAATTTAATAAAACCTGCTGTTTTTACTGGGTATATTATAAACTTTAAAAAAAAGAATTTTTTTTTTCATGGAGCAGTAGATAATCTATCATGACACAGTTTCTACGAAATGATTTATCAAACATTTGAAAGGGATATTATGATTTCATTAAAAATGTTATTTTCAATCTAAATGTTTTGTTTCTTTAGAGATTGTTTTAAATAAATCTGTTTCATTAAATTCGAACATTTTGAAGAAACTACTGTCGATTTTAAGAAATAAAGTAATACGCTTATAGCGAATATTAAAAATGAAATTGCTATTGAATTACAAGCATACCTTCTGTAAAATATATTTATTTCGATGCCTGTTTTTATTTTTGAATCAATAAGATATGAGTAACTTGGGATGTATATTGCGTTTTATCTATAAACAGCTTGTAATTAAGTAAACCCGCAACAATGCAAGCAAGATGGCGATCATTTTTTTAGTTACAATTACTACGAATTGTTAAAAGCATGCAACCAATATACCAATATTAAAACTTTTGGTGAAGGGCAGTTAAAATCGATTATTCTGTCGAAATTATTTAAGTTAGTAGAAATGAATATTAAGTGTGCACTAATATACACCGAAGAGCCATTGCATTATGACCACCCTCCATCCATAACAATGGGCTCGCCCAAGTTTTCATGGTTTCTCGCCCAGGAACAATGTTTTCATGGGGCACAAAAGGACCCATAATCCTCATAGAACAATCCCTGACGTCTGTAAGCTACTTGAACATAGTTGAAGACCAGGTTTACCCATTCATGGCAACAGTTTTTCCAGCGGGGGAGGGTGTTTACCAACAGTATAATGCACCATGTCATAAGGGTCGAATCGTCATGGATTGGTTCGAGGAACATTCCAGTGACTTTCAAGTCATGTCTTGGCCACCAAATTCACCTGACCTTAATCCAATAGAGCATTTGTGGTCCTACTTGGAAAACCAAATTCGTGCTGCCACAATACCCCCTCGCAATAGGAGGGAATTGCAGGACCAGTTGGTGAGCGATTGGTACCAGATACCTCAGACTACCTATCAGCACCTTGTGGAATCAATGTTAGCAGTTTTGAGGGCTGAAGGTGGTCCTATATGTTATTAGCAGGGTGGTCATAATGTAATGGCTCTTCGGTGTATGATGGTATAAGGAACGGAATCTTTAAATGTGTATGAAATGTTTTATGTAATAAAAAAAAAGATTTTAGCAAACCGTGAAGTAATATAAATTTTAAAAACATTTACTATCATGCTTAATACTGCACTCTCATGTCCAGTCATTTGCCGTACGCAATCTCCTGTTGAAATATTCCAACAGATGATGGTACCTTCGCCCCCGCCACTGAACAAAAGTTTTCCTTCTGGATCTACAACCAGTGTGTTGACTGTTCCCTTGTGACCTTTCAGAACCTTTAATAATCATAATTATAATTATTACTCTGCAAATACCTGAAATCTAAATGTTTGTTACATAGTGATTAACAGAAAGATATATCACTCATGAGCTTCAATAGCGGCACAATTCAAAAAATCAAGTTTTGAGATAAGTGGGTTTAAAGTTTTCATTGCATTGCTAAGCAAAATGCATAAGAAATGCTTTCGTTGCCTAAACGACGATTCCTTCAAGTTGAATTATGAGTTGTGCAAGTATTGCTGCTGAAAAAATATGTATTTTTCTATTTACATCTGTTCTTAGTCCAAAACTCGTGTTTTTTTAGTTGTGCCACTATTGTAGCCCATGAGCTATATAACTGAATTACCTTTTTCTCGTTGCTAAGCTTGTTAAATGATAATTTGTACAATGTGATATTGCATTACACTTTATATACTTTTTAATACAAAATGAAAAGGCAGTTTCTTCTTAAATTTGAACAATAACGGACAGCAACTGCAACCGATTGAAAAAAAAAGTGATTTTTGTTGCCGTTTGCTTATGGATATTAAAATTTCTAACGTGTTTTAATTGTGATAAGAATGAAATTTTTTAAAAAATAATATTGTCAGTCATATCTTTAAACAAATAAATGAGAAAACCTATAGATTATGATTCCATTCAGATTATATGAAGCAGTGTAGTCTTAATAAAAGAATGGTAAATCACATAAAATTGCAAGATATAATGGAATAGTATAATCTAAATAGATCCCATGAAATAGATTTTAGATCATATCAATTAGTATAATCTGAAAGCAAGTATGATAGATCATATGAAGTCCAATTCAGATATGAAATAGTATGGTTTGTGTTCTAGTATTATAAATACCATGGATTATAATTCAAACAATATTAAATAGCATAATCTGAATGCAAATACAATTGAGATATGATATACAATTCAGACATTATGAAGTAGTATAACCTCAATGCGAATGGGATAAATCCCATGAATTAGAATTCATATTACATGATATATAATACCTATCGTATGAAATAGTATCAAAATATGAAACAGTGTTCAGATAATATGCAATAGTAACAAGAACACGTGATTAATATTTAAATTACCAACAATATTCAGATCACAGAAAAAAGCATTTAAAACGAGTTAAGTTTTATTCAAATCATATAAAATTTAGCTAAACCGCAGCTGTGAGCTATAATTTACTTACATGCAATGATTTTCCAATGTGAAACGACCATATCCGAATTGTTTTATCGGAGGAACCCGATATTAAAATATCTCTCTCAAGAATTGTTTTTCCATCTAATGGATTATTGTCATCAGGAATGAAAACTAGAGGATATACGGCTTTAGAATGACCCTGAAATGAATTAATTCTATTATTTCCAATTATCTGTTATGGGAAAACAAATTAAAAAGAATTTAAACTTTAAAGCATTTAAATATTAGAGATAAGAGATATTTTATAAAAAAATATTTGTTACTTTAATTTTAAAAAAATTAAAAAGTTCAATTCTCTGCATGATGAAAAATGTATTTTTCAGATTTTTTCATTATAAGTTTGGTTGAAGTTATAGTTTGGAAAACTTAATAACAAAATCATTAGATTACTTTCTGATTTACAATTTCATCTTATTTAAAACGATCTGATTAGCGTATTAAAAATTAGTTCATTTAAAATAAGTTGCAGTTGAAAATTTATCGTTAAAAAAAATTTGTTTGTTGGTTTTTAAAATTTCTAAAATTAAATTGCCAATATATTTCTTATTTCATTAAAAAAATTGTAGCGAATTAAATACATTCAAATAAATAAATAGTTATTAATAAATAAATACAAATAAGTAAATATAAACAAATAAATACATAAAAATAGCTATAAATAAATGAATATAAATAAATTAGCATAAAAAGTTATTAAGGAATTAAACTGTAATATATATGCTTACTTATTTGCTACTTATTTTTTTAATCAAGAGAATAATCAGCTTATAGTTTAATTAAACATGTGAATTATTATTAAAATACGAAGGTTATCAATAATTGATTCGAATGCTAGCCACAAACTAATTTAGTATGGAAGTATATTTTTGAAATACGAAAACAATGCACATAATCATTCCTGTTTTCTTACATTAGTTTTACAATTAAAAATAATTAAAACAAATTAATTAGAAAATATTCAACGTTTGTCTTATATTTTTTTTTCTCAATCACTGATTATTAGTCTTCTCACTCTAATGAATAATAGAATCTCTTAATAAATGAATAGTGTCATGAATTATATTTATCTTACAATTATATTATCTCGCAAACATTGCAGAAATGTTTCAAGCATTTCTGCAATGCATGAGAGAATTTTAAATGAGATTAGTGTTTGTATCGTGTTAGCAGCCATTTTTATTGATATTTTAGAAAGTAATTAAATCTTACAGAAATACGTACATTTGAAAGTTTTCTATAACATTTGTAATCGGTAGGTGGGAATAGTGTTCGGTCATCCCTCAAACATGACAATTTAATTTTCACTCAAAGCAAATTATTATTTCACAAACTTCTTTTTGCGATATATATTTATAGATTTTCTTTTTGAAAGAGATTTATCTTCATTTGTTATCTTGTACCTTTAAGAGCGTAAGTAAGCTGTGAAAGACAAAAACTATATGAAACTAGCAAATGTTTGAAGCATTTGTCAACTATCGCTATTTCACACTTAACACTGAACAATGTCAGTATTCAGCATGCACTAGTGAATGTTGAATTATTTTTTTTAAAATATAAATATCAATATTTATTACTCATATAGACAATATGAATATCATATTTTAGCCGTGCTGACATTGGAGATAAAATGAACTCCTCCCAATGGGGAGAACCCGCACCGGACACAGTTTTGACGCAAAATATCTTCAGCAGAACGATGATCAAAGGTTAGAATCTCCTTACCATCTGACAAACCGTGAGAGGATTTCCTCTCCATTTAACGCAAATGCGGGTTAGTTCCATCAAAAAGTCTCATTGAAAACTAATGTGTCCCAATGCTAGATTCAGGAGTTCCCTTTTCTTCTGGATTGGTTTCAAAATTACAAGGCTCAATAACATTTGAGCATTGATAGCCGTAAACTTAAAAATGGGCAGTCTGTTCAACGCTGGTTATAAAATAAAACGGCAATACATGACTGAGTAGTAAATGAGAAGTAATCAATACTCAGCACAAGTGCACGCTGAGTATCAGCATTTTTCAGCGTAAGTACGAAATAATATTATTTTACAAATATTTCGGGCATTAATAAGTGAATCGTTATTGTTTATTCTCTGTAGCATATATGTTGCTATTATGCTAATATATTCACTATATAACATATACACCGAAGAGCTATTACATTATGACCACCCTCCACCTATCTCGCCCAGGAACAATGTTTTCATGGGGCACATTAGGACCCATAATCCTCATAGAACAATCCCTGACGTCTGTAAGCTATTTGAACATAGTTGAAGACCAGGTTCACCCATTCATGGAAACAGTTTCTCCTGTGGAGGATGGTGTTTACCAACAGGATAATGCACCATGTCATAAGGATCGAATCGTCGAGGAACATTCTAGTGACTTTCAAGTCATGTCTTGGCCCCCAAATTCTCCTGACCTTAATCCAATAGAGCATTTGTGGTCCTACTTGGAAAACCAAATTCGTGCTGCCACGCTACCCCCTCGCAATGTGAGGGAATTGCAGGGCCAGTTGGTGAGCGCTTGGTACCAGATACCTCAAACTACCTACCAGCACCTTGTGGAATCAGTGCCACGGCGGGTGCTAGCAGTTTTGAGGGCTAAAGGTGGTCCTACATGTTATTAGCAGGGTGGTCATAATGTAATGGCTCTTCGGTGTAGATTGCTAAAAGTTATTACGTTAGTTTTAAATAATGCTATTGAATTTAACTTACTTCGAACGTTTTCAAACAAGTGTCGTTCACAGCAGAGTACTGATGAGTGTTCAATGTCCATGCCTTCACAGTATGGTCAATAGAGGATGAGAACATGAAATCTCCAGCAACTACGAGTCTATTCACTCTTTCCTTATGACCTTCGTATACGTAGAGACAGTCGTATGATGACATGCACCACTTTCTGACAGTGTAGTCATTGGAACCAGATAAAATGTACTTATTGTGGAATGCTAAACATGAAATGTAGTCCGTGTGTCCTTTCATGGTAGCTTTACTTTGAGTAGGCGTCGTATTTATGCGCCATAGGACAACACACTTGTCCTCACCACCTGTCGCCATGAGGTACTTGTCCTTTTGCATTATCATACAATTGACACCACCTTTGTGTCTGGTGAACTTTTCGAGTATGTAGCCTCTTGCAGCATTGGGATTAATGTCTTTTGAAGTGTCTAAGCCCATTATTTGAAAATATTGGTAATGGGAGGATAGTTATTACTAATTATTTAATTCTTAGTATCTGTTTGAATAATGCATTCAAGATTCGAAATAGCATAATTTTGTTTGTTTTTGTACCTTTTTTCGTACTAAAATTAATAGCATCTTAATTCGTATTTCTTGCATTTAAGCTAAAAATACTTCACTGTAAATTATTGTACGAGTTGCCAAATTTTTCTAATGCATTTTTTATGAAAATCTGGGTGACAACAATTTAAAAGAGATACGCATTCAATTTGTTAGCAGAGTTTCGTTCTTTGTTCAAAAATTATTTATTTATCAATTAAAAGGAAACGGAAATAGATCATTCACATTCTTGTTTCATTTTTTGGTTTAATATAAACATAATTTATGTCGAAAATAGAATTCTTTGTTTACCTGAATTTCACTTTTTGACTTATAAATCTTCAGTAAAAAATAATAAACGCATTGCTTATTTTAAAGAGAATTATAAAATTCCTTTTTTGAAAAGTCTTTAATGCATGACAATTTTTTCTTTCCTAAAGGAAAAAAAACAGAAAAATTACAATTTTCCTAAAATTTATGATTTAAATCAAAATAATATTTGATAAATACATGCAATACACTGTAAAAGATTCCGGATCAAATTATGGTGAAAAGTGCTGGCACTCTTGGTGCAGTATCCGCGAATTTCATTTTACCATAAAATCCACTTCACTCTAAAGTTTTATATCATATTTTTTACAGTAATATTTATTCAATTTTACTGACTGTGTAATTTTGCTTAAGGGAAGTCTGTAGGTCATATACCAATAATACTAAAACTGACTTTATTCGATGTACCTTTTCTCAGCATCTAAACAAGATTCAATTTTTTTTTCACAGAATATTTGTATATACATGTTTACACTATGATAACTGTCAGTACATATCTTTGGCAGAAATGTTTTTTAAAGAGTAAGAACTGAGAACTTTCAATTTTTAAAAAAAAGTTTCATTCCTTTTCGAGCAAAAATCTTCCAAAACTCAAAAAGTATTCCTGTTAAAACTAAAACATTATCACAGCATACAACTGATATAATCTCAAATATCCCACGAAATTTCAAAGCGATATCATAAGTAGTTTCTTAAGAAGGTATATTGAAAAAGATCAGTTTTAACATTATTGATATATGTCCTACAACTCCCTTTAAATATTTATGTAAAAATTATGGTATATATGATTTTTGCTCCTTAAAGTTTTACTGTGAAATTGAATTTTATACTAAAAAGTACTGTCACTCTGAGTGATGGTACTTTTTTCCGTAATTTTTTAGTGTATTTGTTATGAATGACCAATTTTAACTAAGGAAAACTATTAAAAAAACTGTGTTAGTATTTACTCGCATTAAATATTAGGCTTTTAAAGCTTAATAAAAAAAATTTCAAGATTATTTTACTTTCAATGGTATATTTTTCTGACGTTGAGCTTCGCAAAAAATAAAAACATTAGATATTCAGCAAAAACTAATAAATTATATAATTACACGAATTTACAAAATTTCGCCTTTTTCATTACACTTATTCTTAACATCGTAGAAAAATATAAACTGTTTTCCAAACTAAAAATTCGACATTTATTTTTAATGATAAAAGATCATTATCGAATAAATTTATCAAAATTTCCCCATCAACGATTTTAAAAAGGAAGATTTTGAAACTACTGAATTTGATTTGGTATGATTGATTTTAGCTAATTCAGAAGTACATAAAATAATTCTTACCTTAGACTGCTTCCTTTATACTCAAATGTTTACTATGAAATTGTGAAAGATTCTCTTACCTACATTTATTCATTTGTTTGTGAACGGAGAAGAGTTTATTTGCATATTTCTTAGTAACGTCTCTATAGTAACAGCCATGAAAGGTCAAACATGATTCTTTCCATTGCTATTTGGTAATAAAAAAAAGAGGACAGTTCTGTATCATCTGTATCATAGGAAAAAAAAGGTGTATATTTTTATTTTACAAGGGAAAAAACTGAAAATTTAAGGTCTATTCGTGCAACAATATGTGTTTTGTTTGCTCTTTGGAGAATTTAATAGATTGTGAACGATAACAATTTCACTATAAAAAATACAAATTACTAAGTTGGATTTTTTTGTCCTGTTACTATTTTCAAACGCATGCATAATTTAAACTTGTGTTTTTAAAACGTTTCATTATGTTTTTATTTCAATTAGATTTTGAATTTTGACATTTTCTTTATATTTTTAAGAAATGTCATTCATTTCAATGACTATAAATATATAATCCCTCCTAATTGAAGCGTACGTTTTCGGTAAATGCAAAAATCTTGTTGAATTGTTATTCCAAAGTGAAAATACACAGAAAAAATTATAACGAGTATTAATAATTAGCAGCTTTTAGAATAATAGAACAACTACTTTAATTATTTTTTTAGTTCAGTTATGATTACATATGTAATGTAAACACGTTATTTTCTAAGCATTTATCTGTTTTTTTAAATGAAATATTTAATTTTAAATATTTCTTTTTACTAATATTAAGAAATCGAACAATTTTGATGACATGTAATATGTAATCCCGCTCAATAAAACCGTACATATTTTTGGTAAATGCTAAAATGTTGTTTGAAACATTGTTTTATTAAAAAAATGACAATAATTATGACTAAATGAATAGTCTTCTGGTGAATAAAATAAATACTTTGATTAAATATTTGAATAAAAAATAAAATGATTTATACATTGTTTTTTTATGATAATACATCTTATTTTAAAATATTTCTTATTGATGCTACAATTCCTTGAATCTTGGCGAAATATTTCATATATTCTTAGCATAAGCGTGTTTATTATAGTATAAGCGTGTTATTTTTAGTGTAAGCATGTTATTCTTAGTTTAAGCGTGTTATTCTTAATATAAGTGCGTAGTTTTGTAAATATTTTTAAAATGGTATACAAATTGCAAATTTTTAATATAATACACGAAAAAAGTATGTAGAAATGAGTATCCAATTTATTAGAAGAATGACATGACTACATACATTAATAATTACAAATAATTCCTTTTTTTATTATATGTTTATTTACTTCAAAGGCATTTTGTCACTTGTCCTATTTAAGATTTTAAGATGTAATATCTCAACCAAAACTAATTACAAAATCTTCAGTTTTTCGTTTGACAATCTATTTTTTTCCGCATTCTTTTTGCTTTCAATTTTCAGTCATTTTGTGTTTTCTTTCTTATTTGAACATGAATCCAATTAATTTTAAAATAAAAATTAATTCTTAACTAAAATGTTTTCGACTTTATTTTGAGTTTATAAAGGAAGATTTTGACTTTATCATTTTTGTTTTAGTTCATTCTTTTGTGTTTAAAGGATAATATTCGTCAAATGCTTGATAGCCTTGGTAAAACTGTTTTTTAAAAAAACAAAATAAAAGTTGTTAAATTTAAGAAGAAAATTAAAATTATACAAACATGAAAATTAAACAAATTATTTTCGTTGATTACCATACTAATCAAAAACATTTACAAAAATTAAAACTTTAAAAGAAATTTCTGAGACATTTTGAGGACACCAATCCTTATTAGAAATTATTCGAATGTTAAAGACATTTATGTATAAGAAAATGTAAAAGTTAATTTAACAAAAAATTAAAAAAAAGAGAAAAAAAACATTAAATATTTTTCGTATGGCCTTAAATAAAAATTAAATTCTTCCTACACAATTTCAAAAACTGCTCTTTATTTAAGTTATGTAATATTTCTTAACCTTAATTTTAATTTGCTATTTTGATAATCCATTTTCATTAAGTAAATTGATGAATGCATTGGCTATCTCAAATTATTACATAAAAGTAGGGAATGAAATTCCTTTAACTCAAAAGACTATTTTATGGAAAAGCTTGATTAATCTTATTTGAGAACTGTTTGAATAAAAGCAATTTCTGTATTGATAGGTTTAAAAAACAGAGTGAAATGTTTCCTGGAAAAAAGGTATCAAACGGAAGGAATTGTTAATTAACTATCACCTAAATCGTGATAAAAAAAAGCTTTGTTACTTATTCCCCAAATAAAGAAACTATTTTATTTTTCAAATGCAAAAGATTGATTAGCTATTTTGAATTCTGAAAATGAAAGATGCTTTTATTCCTATAAAAAATTGGTTATTATTCCACAAAATAACTTGACTTTACTCTTTTCTTCATCAGCAGTCGTCAAATCAAACCTCGTTTTTATAGTAAGTCAAAATAATGTTTTCTTATTAAATTGTCAAATTTGTTATACATAATTACGAATTGGGCTACGATACAATAAAATAAAATAAAATCCAATTTACAATGAAGAATATCGTAATACTCAATTAAATTAAAGAACCTCAAAATAATTCTTTTGCTTTTCATAGAACGCTTGTCAGTCTACGAACAATTAAATGATTCGTATGTTAACCTCTTTATTAACAAATTAACTTAATGTGTTCTTGTAAAAGTTCTTAATTCGATACAAAACAATTTCAATAGTCAAAACAATTCTCTAAGAATTTAGTTCGCTTAAACCAATTTCCGCTTCCTTCTTTATTTTGCTGCTAAGTAAGGGCACTTGTCACTTTCCATTACTGGAAATAAAATTCATTTGAAGGATTTAAATTCTATTTCGCTTTTTGTTTTCTATTACGTATGAGGACCGCCTGTTAGGAAAGAATAATAAATTCACGTCAACAGTGAAGAGACTTCACTTTGTGCTGTTTTATATTTTAGGTTAAATTTTTATTCTTGGCTTTTCACTGAATTTTTCTTTATTTTAATCAATTCTAGTTTTTAGCAATTTAACGAAAAAAAAAATTGTGCTGAAGTATTTGTCTTAATAATATGTATAAGAAATCTTTTGTTTTATTAGATAAAAAAAGAAACATTGCGTGATATTTTAAAACTCCGTTAGGTTTTTTTCAATACTGAAAAAAATACACATTTAATGCTTAAATAGTTAAATTGTTAATAGTTTCAGT